GAAAAACTCGGCGTCCAGCTCCGTCTCTCCATCTTTCTTCTGCGATGCTCTGCCAACAGTTCTCAAAGCTGAAATTAGTGTCGGACTATTGTCTCTTGGGACTCTTGTATGCGCTGAGGCATTGTATGTGAGGCCCTGTTTGGATCCATTGGTGGGCGTTGGGGACTGACATTACACAGTGGGAACGATAGCGATGATTTGTCTTCCCTTGACCTCGGTGAGATATCTGACTTCATCTGCAATGAGCCAACTAAGAAATTGGCCTGTAATCCGGGGCTCAGATATCAATTTCTGCCTTCCTCCTCATGTGTTATTATCAACAAGGGGAGCAGGCCGTCTCAGTTGTCGAATTTTCAATTATCTGTTGGTGCTCGATCGGGACCTCGATAGCGACAATACTCTCTTGCATTATCGCTCCCTGCTTCCGGACCCTAAGGAAGTCCAGAGAGATTTATTGGATGGCCATATTCATGCTTTGGTTGACTCTGATTGTTGTGACGTACGGGCTTGGGTGGAAGGAGAATAGAAGCCGTTATTGCGAAATGTAAGAGTGTCATATTAATTGTGCAACGATCTGACGAAGAAGCCATAGACTCCAGATTGGACGATGTAACTTTGTCCTTGCGCTTCCCAAACTCTCCATATCAATGCTGTTTGTATCACTTTCTTTAACACCAACGGAAGGATACACTAACGGATGAAAGAAGGTTTGCGATCTTGTGGCACGCATATGAAGTGTCTATGTGTCACAAATCATATGACGAGAGGCCCTTTGGGGGTGACCAATTCTGGAGGCAGCATCGCCCCACTCGCCGGGTGGATGTCGAGGTTGCGAGAGCCGAGCTGCAAGCTAGACCGTTGTCACAGGTATTTCAACCCACGCGCCAAGATGACAAGCCATGACCTATCTTTTTATCTAGCTCGTGCCCCCACTTGGTACAGAAGTTGATGTTGGACCCCCAGAGGGTGTCCCAATGGCACCACTCGACGCTGGGTCTACACCAGGCCCACCGGAACTTGCACCCACCAGGGAGTGATCGCGAGGTATCACAGTATTTGGGTCCAAGTTAATCGCAATTGTAGATGAGGGCAAGATGAAAGAAAATATAGGCTGAGGACAAAATATACGTTGGTGCCCATCTTTCTTCCGTCGAAATGTCGGCGAGCAGATGAGTTTTAAAATCTTGTATCAATTCCATCTTGTTTTTGTGTCAGCCAAGTAAACTCTTCACTTACTTCGATCAGGCATGGGTAGGGACTACCGAGGCTGGTTGCGCTTAGCCAAGCTGAAGACCCTACTTCGGCAAAGCAACAAGTAGCTCTACCCATAAACTCCTTGATCAACAGCAAGTAGCTGGAGTGTTGAACTTCTGGGAGAAGACTCCAGGCCTCAGTCTGTGGCCTGTAGGCGTTCATTCATTCATTCATTCAAGAGAGGCCTCGCTCCGGAGGGCAACCTCCATTGCTTGGTATGCTGTTAAACAACCTGCACGACGCGAGCCCTTTTTCGATTGTAAGTCTCTCGCCGCCCGTTCCTTCAAGAGTAGACATATAGAAGGGTGGATTTCATAACAGGAGTTTAATGGCTTGTGGAAACAGTAATATCACGGACGTGCGGAAAAATATTGTATAGCAGGTCCTCCACGCAACGCCAAGACTGGAGATGTCGGGGTTTGGCAGGATATCTGGTTTTCTTGAAACCGTGACATCTTCCCATGTGTGACATAGAATCAACCAGATAGAGACGAGCACGTAGCACCCAACACCCAGTTTGAAGACTCTAAACATGATCCTGAGGTTTATCTCAGAGGATCCAACCTTGTCGAGCAAATCAGCCTCTGAAAAAGTAACTCGATCGATCATCAAAGGAACGAACATAATGAAAGGACCCGTTGAATTGAACCACCAGAACGTTGACCTGGTAATAGTGGTCACTGTGGTACTTTGAAACGTCCCGTTGAGCGAAGGTGAGCTGTCCGCCATTCACTTCAAACTTGTTGGAGCCGAAGAACGTGTTATTTTGACCTTGAGAGTGTTACAGAGAGCCATACGATAGAGTGAGTAGTAGAGGATGACCTACCGGCATCTGCAGAACTGCTTTCTTGGAGGACCATTGAATGATGTACAAGCGTTGAGTGGTAGGACCCAAGTGAGCCCTCCGAAAATATTGGGCAGCCAAAGTCTGAGCAGCGAGTGAGATACAAAAAAGAGGGAAAGGATTCAATCTGTCCTTTCTCACTCGTGCTCAAGTCATATGAGGATTCGTACTCAGTCGTGCTGTGCACAATATGGTGTGCGGGAGACACATGTGGAATAGGCTGTCTAAGCTCGGAATGCTTCAAAGGTTCCTCCCGTTGATAAATTTCAACAGCATCTTAGGAAAAGCTATATTATTTAGGCTCGAGCGGTGCTTGTTTCGACCACTATCTACATCAACGGTTGCTAACCGAAAGTTGTTATGGTCATGATATTCAACCAATAAGCACCCCTCTTGAATATGACACTCACAAAACTTCGTGGCTTCACCCATGTTTCACGCACTAAAAAGTGACAGACACCCAGCCCTAGGAGGCGAAAGCAACTCCTGAGGGGAAATAGTTATAATACCTGGAAACCTTGACAGTACCGGTGTTTGCCGAACACTAGAGTTGTTTGATGCCCTTCCTTACAGTTCCTCCTTCGACGCCTTCCAAACATCGGCTTCTATGTCTCCTCCTAACGCATCGGACCCACATAGAGAATCTCTACCGCCCTGGGTAGGCTTCCTGTGATGCCCATCATCATGAACCTCTTGCTCAGGCGATCGGCAACGGGATCCTGCACATCGTATCCGCATCCCAATTAGCTTATTCTCCTACTTCTTGACCATCCTACAGGGCCAGTAAACGATATCCAACGACCGAGGACCCTCGACTTTGACGAGACCAATTCTCCTCCTGAGGTTTATGAGTCTCAAGTGAAGGAAGACGGAGAAGAAAGCAACGAGTGCAACAGGAGGTGCAAGAACTAGAACGAGCGAAGGAAGAACTCGTATTGTACTGGTGGGCTTTCTGAGTCGTTGGATCCATTCAAGCCACCCAGCTGACCCGTCTCTCCATCCGTCTACAAGTCCAAGCACTCGTTGTCGAATCGGAAAGAGTACGTCTGTCTCCCGCGTTCAACCAGACGCGTATATTGAAAGGTTTCGTAGATCTTCGTCTAGGAGGAAGAAACTCGATTTGGCACTCGCAGACTCAGAATGCGTAGTGACATCCGTCTACATCTCCCACCCTCACCTCTCACTGCTTCACTTGCCCATGCATATCTCGCCTACAGTACCTTATAACTCTGTTCCATCCTCTCAATGCACAACCTCTTCATGCCCCCCTCAACCTCCACCCTCTCCAGCACCTGCACTCGTCTCCGAACCTTCTCCCCCTCAATCTCACCCGAAATCTGGATTCTGATCTTCCAACACACCATATCCCTGCCCAACCCTTTCTTCGCTTCCTCCACTGTTGCGTCACGCCCATACAGCCCCTTATCCACATCCACGTCGCGTTCCTTCCTCGACGGTTATCTCTTCAGGTTCCAGCTCCAAGTCGATTGAAGCAGGAGGAGGGAGGCCTAGGTCTAGTGCACAAACAATTTTAGGTGTGTCTTCTTCATCTGGGTCCGCTGTGACGATCACCACTGGCGATACCAATGACGGCATCTTGGATAGCTTCGACTCCTCTGCTTGAGTATCATCGCTATAAAACTTCGGATGGTTTCCGCACGCCTGGAACACTTCGAACTCACCCCGTGCGCAAAGGATCTCATCAGCTCATGGCTAGTCTCGTCGCAGACCGTCCCGCATGAGAGGGTTTGCTTAATTGAGCCTAAGCCCATGGCGGAGCTAGACTCGACCCAGTCTCCTCGGCGCACTCTGAATAGTCAGTAGTTTATCCTGATGTAATAAATTTCGAGAAATTCCATTGTGGAGGTAACGGCTGGATCGAGCCTATGGCGGAGCTGGAGGACTGGAGCAACATTCTTCGAATCTCTCACAGGCGGAGGGAGCTTTATGTGTTCGATGATTACGATTACGGCCACTGTCACTTCTTCCTCCCCTCTTCCTCCTGGAAAATCCCTATTTAAGTCACTTTCCGCTGAAACACTCTGTTCCTTCCCATCCACCGTCAGCTCGGTCTTTATCCCCGCCCTCACTGCTCTTAACCTGACATCAGACAACGTCACGCATTCCGTCGTTTCCACCTGGGATTTACCAGCAACTCGACGCGTCTCACTTATCGCGTCTGATTTCTCGTATGCCAATGAGGGCTTTCTCATCTCAACTCGAACTCAAACACCGATAACAGCAAACCAAGAGGCGAGGTGGTGCAAAGCTCCTTGAGCTTCTGCAAGACATTCAGGTGCTGATGTTCTAGAAGAACGTTTTGGCACTGTTAAGGGCAAAATGTGTATCGCGAGGACTGTGATGGTTATCGTGGAACATTGGTAAGGGCGAGGAGGGTGCCCACCTTGGAGAGTGGGGAGGCGTGCTTGGATTTTCCTTGGAGACGAGGTTGAGTGTTGCGCTCGTGGCTCGCGGCTCGTGTCGTATTGACTGCGTCCGTTTCTCTTTCTTGTGCATACATCGTCTCTTGCTCATCTCGTTGTAAATGCCTCGCATACCATTTCTCGCACGTACATTTCTAAGCTTTTCACTCCCTCATACGTCTACCGTTCAACGCGGTCCTGTAGATTCTCTTTGCTTTGCAAGACTATTCGATGACTGAATTTCTTGCACATTAGCTTTAAGCAGTTGGTGATACCTGCTAGATCTTCCGGTCAGATTGATGTACCGAATCGAGATGTATGAATAATGACCTTTCCGCTTTGTGAATGATCCTCTGGTTTCTCTTGAATTAGAAATCAGGTCAGTAGATGTTCTTCCAAAATCTTTGAGGACTGGTTGCTCGTCATCCAGCCAGGTTATAAGCTGGGAAAAAAGAAAAATTGGCTTATGGTCATGTCGATGGGAACACTGCGGATCGAACGCAGGACCTGTAGAACCTCACCCTGCTGCTCTCCCAACTGAATCATGCTCCCTTGTCAACAAAGGCACCCGAAGCTTAGGTCGAGCCAGTGTCAGCTCTGAGGCTCAAATGGTGCTCTCCCATAGGTTTCCAGCAAGATAATCAAGAGTGTTGAGCTCATGATGCAGCGGTCTCAGTGAAGAAGGCTTTGAGCACTTTCACCCTCACCTGCAACATTTGTGATCATAACCTTGACTTTCAGCCACAAGGGTTCAATATCAATAGAAGCAAGTTACTCAGCCTATCTATGCCACCGGCATGATCAAGAAATGGACGAACATAGGGAAAGGAGCCACCCATGTGAGTCAGAAGGAACTAGACTTCGGGGAGGAGAGCTAATGGCAGACGCACTGACATCATCGTTCCGCTGGAGTGCCATCGGACACGAAACGTATGGACTGTAAGGGTCGCTTCTGAGTGTTCCAAGTTTAACTAGTGGGGCAATATGCTTGGCCACTGGTGCTCGACTCGGATAACTGCGATGACTAGTCTATATAACGCGAACGCCACCGTCTGTGTTATATTATCTTTCCCTCGTGTATAGTCATACGAGTATGAGTACTGTACAGCCGTTTTCGCTGTGTTCAAAAGGCGGTCGCCAGTGAGTAAGTTACTTATAGCGCATCACATCGGTTTGTGTGAGAGTATGAGTGACGAATATGAAAGGCAGACCACATTCCACCACTCGCTTTGGAACGACGATGCTCCTATGTCTGCACCAACGTTGGTGAGTATGCCTTCTTGGCTAATAGAAGGCTCGTCGAGTGACTCACTGTCGACACTGTGACCATGCTTTCCTCGCCTCCCTCGGTCCATCAGAGCCTTGAGAGACTTTAGCCCAAGCCCGAACTATCTCATGGTTGGCGAGTGCAGGTCTGTGGGAATGTCAGTTTGAGCGTTATCTGGCTCAATCACCTTTATAGGGCGTTGGGAAAGCCTAAAAGACGGATCTATGTATAGCGTGTTAAACTCTGAAGGATTGGCACCGAAACAGATGTGAAAACGAGAGTTTGCAAGCCGCATAGTATCGACTACAAGGTACACTACATGCATCAAGTTGGGCCAAGGGGGGCGAAAGGAGATTAAACGAAGCTATTGTAAGGATCACGAGAACTCAGTACGTATCGGTGCCCTTGGAACCTTCCCACCAAAATGACACTGAGGATAAATAATGAAATAAGTTACGATCCAATATCAGCAATGCCCAACTTGACGGTAGACGCGATGAAGAAGAAAGGCTATGGGTGCACAGGAGGCAGCGGTGCGGGAATAACATATCTAGGGAGCGAGAAGAAAAGAACCTGGACAAGAAGAGCGAGGTTGGAGACTATGGATGTGGGGGATCGAGAGTAAAGGAATATGTCCAATGAATGGACAAGGGCACTGGACGGAAGGGAGCGGGGGATACAGGTACTAGTAATACACCGAGAGGAGTCCGTGTAGTTCATGATAGCGATCCATTCTATAAGATACAACAGGTCATGGGAAATGTCGGTTTTTAGTAAGCCCACCGTGGAGCGCACCTTGAGGGACAGGAACCGCCGATTGCTGCTCGCAGGGAAGGGGCTGCTTCCAGTTTTCAGCGATCCAAGTTTACCTCTAGATGTGGCCCGGGGCCGCTAACCAAATAAACCAACAGTGGCTGCCGCAGCGGCAGACACAATCTGTAGAAGGGAGTTCCTGGTTAATATTCCGTATCCATCGAGGAATTAACGCACGAGCTGAGGGGAACCATTGACATTGATAGTCAATAAACTGACTCGATAAACCCTCGTGATGGAAGCATCGCCATTGGCGTAGGCAAACTCTCCTCCATTCACCTCGAGGTTATGGCTTCGATGGAACATGCTTCGCTGGTCTTCGGGCCGGTACACTTTAATCGATAAAAGAAGTAGATGGAAGGGACTACACTCACCGCATTCTCGACCACGTGTGTTTCGTTTTCGACGCGACATTCTAGGGGTAAGAGTTGCTCATGAAAGGGTAAGTTTGAAGTTTAATCTCTGTCCCTTCGCAGTTTTATACTAGGAGCACGGGCGCTGCAAATGTCTTGGAACTCGATGCTTATCTGTGCTGTCGAAGATCAGATACAAATACACCGGCGGAGTAGTTGAGCTTCTTTTTACTAGTATCCAAAACCGACCCAGGTATCCAATACACCTTCGAGTGTCCAATGACCCATCTCCGTTCCCATCGACCCCTTATAGATGCGCAGGCGCAGGAAATAGGCTAATGTTTCGGAATAGAGAAGGAAAGAGGTCACCCCCCCAATTACAAGCACAGGGTGTACCGTACGGCTTGTCCGATCGATTTTTTTCAGTATGGGATGGGAACGAGAAACTAGACAATAGTCAGCTAGATTAATGGTGGTAAGGCGGCGGGATGGGCAGGGCAGCCCTTGTGTGGCAGCCCATAGTTGACTTACAAGCGAGCGTCAAGTCTGGTAGGCGTCACGAGGGGAATGTTACAAAATCCTCAACAAAATCGGATGTCTCAAGGTCGAAATAAAGACTAAAACCAGTCTGGGAATCAATCGTTATCTACCTGTTTTGAGAAGAACCGATATCCAGATTCCAAGTACAACCGCCGTAGGACAATCTGAGTGATCGACTTCATTCGGAGCTTGAACAATGGCGTGACCAATGGCGCAAGCACTAAGTTCAACGTCCTTTCCGTCCCGATTCCATTTGTCTACTCTAGGCTCTGATGACTCCTCCTATCCTCTCTGACTCGCACAAACGCTCTTTTCTTCCTGCTTTGGTGAGCACCTTTGGACAGAGATGTCTTCAGGCCCTGACGGTCCTTACGTCATCAACCCACACTGGATTCGATTCTGACTGAGAGAAAGTCTCGGAGCGAGTTCACTTTCGTTGTCGTCTTGATCTGGGTCATGAGTGGCGATCTCCGCTGGTGACAACAGTGTTATCGATAGTTCGTCTCCTGGATCTACACGCGCCAACAGCACCAGCAAGACTCGGATATGCAGCGCTTGTTGATTAGTCCCTAGCGGAGGATGACAGGAGGGTGAGGTGAACGCGTTATGAATGCTAGGCTGGTGCGTTCATCCATCCATTCTTCTTCCCACAATACAAATGCTAACGCGCTCTCAAACAGGAAGGGCATTCTATATTCGCATCATGGGTCCAAACTTCGGGCGGTGCCCATGCAGCCGAAATACCTTGGACCTACCCTCTGGGCAAACGATCTCATGAGAGGCGTAGCAGGCCAAGGTGGAATTGTAGAAGGATCCTTCAAGCTTCAAGTCTCGTAGGGGCAGGGAACCTCGCAGATCCCAGGATTACGATTACAACTACTGTCACCTACCCCTCACCTGCATCTCGCCTCCTCTTGTCAATTTCCAATACTCGCCCTCCACCGGAACCGTCCGCTCCATCCAATGCGTCGTCAGCTCCCTCTCCCTCGCCAACCTCACCGCTCTCAAGCTGGCATCGGACAACGTCACCTATTTGGTCTTCTCCGCCTGGGGCATACCCCTCTAATCGGCACTTCTCGCCCATTGCATCTAATTTCTCGTGCTCCAACCAGGTGTTTGCAAGTTTCCTTGACGTGAATGGGGGAAAGGCTGAAGACCTCGATTTGGCGGTTGTGATCGACGAGTTTGGGTTGACTGCACCCCTTCATGTAACCAGTGCCACACCGCTACTTCGAACGACATTGTAGATGACAGCCAAGAGACTCCGCTCAACATGCGTTGCACTCGCCGAATGGTGTTCAAATCTCGAAATCATCATCCGAGTGACGTTGACCACCAAACGATTGTACTGAATTATCATGGAGGCGTTGCCATTGGCGTACGTCCCTCCGTTGATTGTGAATCCGTCCGATCCTTGAATGATATTCCTATTGCCTGTGGAACGAGCGAAAAAGTCATGAGCATTGAATATGCCTTCTCTGCTTCTGGAGCAATCACGGAGGATACCACGCTTGCCTTGTCTCCTCTGTACCCTGGAGTTGTGAAAAGAGTGTTCTAATGAGCTTGAGCTCTTGATTGGTTGGGTTGTGCAGAGGTGGACTCGAGAGGTCGGAGGGGGTCGACTAGCTGGCTTGCGCAGGTGGACTCGAGAGACGGGTGGGAACAACCAAGGAGTAACGGTTCAAAGCTCGTTCAACCCATATTCAACAGATATAGCAGGACAGCCCCTTTCTCTCCAGTGACCGATTGGGTCTTTACAGCAATACAGCAATAGAAGTCAGAACAAGCGCTCAGAGGACTATTTGGCGCCGAGCATGTCGCGCTCAGCAGGACTTAATGTGGGCCGCACCCATCATACCTACTCAACTGCGAAAGTGAGAGCGCGACTCAATCCTTGTTGTATCTAACTTGTGCCAGGAACTGCTTTCAAGGTTAATGCTGGACCCCTGAACACCAACAGTGGCCAGTCGGCGCTGGGTCAATGCCAGGTCCAACCTGGTCCTACGCATGGCAGGCCGTCAACATTAAGACACGTGGTGAGCACCTGCTACGAGCTGGGAAAAATAAACGATGGGCATCGCCTCGAGAATGTCCGTGAATTGTAATGCTTCAGGTTAAAAGAAGAGCTGAGCATTCAGGTTGGAAAAGAGAGTAGGATTCAGAAAAAGATGCGCAAAGTAAAGAATGAATATTGGATGAAAATGAAGACGAGAGCGAACTCGCGTTTGGACTTGACCCCGGCCTTTCCCCTCAATCGAAGTAGAGCTCGACTTGGAAAAAGGACCGGCGTCGTCGAACCGCTCGTTGGCCCAATTCTCCTACCCGATGCAGTCCACGAAGATGGAAAGAAAGACGAGAGGCAAAACCCAATCGTCCGTCATATGGTGATCCAAAGGTTGAGTAGGGAGTAACGATCGAAAAACTCACTCATTCGATGATCGAATGAGTGAGTTTCGAGGTGTCTTCGGCTGATGGCACGTGTATCATATGGGAATGTGTAGATGCCTGCTATTGAGATCGGGGATGAAGAGAGGGGATAAGAGTGGGTATGAGACAAAGAGGGCAGACGAAATGTGGTA